GGCCTCCTTTGGCCTGTATTACTGCAGCAATGCGGCGTGGCATGGAGTCGATCAGTCTGTGGCACTGCTCAGGTGTTATGATAGCCCAGGTTGCTCTAATAGTGGCTTTTAGCTCTTCTGAATTGTTGGGTCTGGTGTATTGCATCTTCTTCTTCACAATACCCCATAGATTTTCTATGGGGTTAAGGTCAGGAGAGTTTGCTGGCCAATTAAGAACAGGGATACCATGGTCCTTCAACCAGGTACTGGTAGCTTTGGCACTGTGTGCAGGTGCCAAGTCCTGTTGGAAAATGAAATCTGCATCTCCAAAAAGTTGGTCAGCTGCAGGAAGCATGAAGTGCTCTAAAACTTCCTGGTATGTGGCTGCGTTGACCCTGGACCTCAGAAAACACAATGGACCAACACCAGCAGATGACATGGCACCCCAAACCATCACTGACTGTGGAAACTTTACACTGGACTTCAAGCAACGTGGATGAAGTGCCTCTCTTCTTTTCCTCCAGACTCTGTGACCTTGATTTCCAAAGGAAATGCAAAATTTACTTTCATCAGAGAACATGACTTTGGACCACTCACCAGCAGTCCAGTCCTGTTTCTCTTTAGACGCTTCTGACGCTGTCTGTGGTTCAAGAGTGGCTTGACACAAGGAATGCGACAGCAGAAACCCATGTCTTTCATACGTCTGTGTGTGGTGGTTCTTGAAGCACTCACTCCAGCTGCAGTCCACTCTTTGTGAATCTCCCCCACATTTTTGAAGGGGTTTTGTTTCACAATCCTCTCCAGGGTGCGGTTATCTCTCTTGCTTGTACACTTTTTTCGACCACATCTTTTCCTTCCCTTCGCCTCTCTATTAATGTGCTTGGACACTGAGCTCTGTGAACAGCCAGCCTCTTTAGCGATTACCTTTTGTGTCTTGCCCTCCTTGTGCAAGGTGTCGATGGTCGTCTTTTGGACAACTGTCAAGTCAGCAGTCTTCCCCATGATTGTGTAGCCTATAGAACTAGACTGAAAGACCATTTAAAGGCTTTTGCAGGTGGTTTGAGTTAATTAGCTGATGGCAGGGGCCATCAATTTTGAACCTTTTCACAATATTCTAATTTTCTGATATGATGAATTTGAGATTTTCATTTGTTGTCATTTGTAATCATCAAAATTAAACAAAATAAACATCTGAAATATATGAGTTTGTATGTAATGTATGAATATAATATACAAGTTTCACTTTTTAAATGGAATTACTGAAATCAATCTACTTTTTCATGATATTCTAATTTTATGACCAGCACCTGTAATATTTATGATTCAAAAAAATAAAATAAAATCCTCAGCCACCGGCACCCATACTCCCACCCTTCAACTCTCCCACTCGCTTCCTCTCCTGAGACTTTGCCATTACTCGCATTTCCGAGAGCTTCCTTCGCCCCGGGGAGCGATTAAGAGTGCAGCTCTGTGCTGTTTATGCACTTTTTTTTTCTGCCTTTCCCTGTTGACAGTAATTGAAATCCAACAAGTCAATCTTTATTTATAAATAACTCCTTTGAGCAAAACAGGTTTGTCACAGAGTACCTGGCAGAGTGGGAGCGGACCTAATTGCAGACACAGGCAGGAGATAAAAGCAAAGACATGACAAGTTAAGAGAAAAATAGACGAAAAAAACAAGGTTTGACTGCAATGGGTGAAAACAGAGGCAGAGATACAGAGCTTATAGTGACAACTTATTGTATGTTTAAAGCTATCTTCATGCATTTTGACCTGACCTACACTGCAGCTATAGGTGAATGGTTTATTTAAAAACTGCAATCTGGTTGCTTTTAAAATAATGAGTGCGTTTTATAAGTGTTGGTATTGTACACTAACCTTGTTTACTGTTAACTGAAATGCAAATTGATGCAAACTTAAAAAGGAAATATGAATTTGCAGTGTTTTCATGGCTGTGTCTAAACATCCACCCTAACAGCTATATAGGGCCCTATATAGTGGTTATGTCATTTTAAATGAGTGTTTGAATGTCTAGTGGATGCAAAAGTAGTGGACTCGAAATTTCCCACAATGCTCTTTGAAACATAGTGGTCATCCAGGATCACTAGACGAGCAGATATATCCCAGAATCCCATTATGTGATTTGTTGTCACAACAACAAATAACAAAGATGGCGTAGGGACCGTACGTGGAGAAGGAGTCACGTGGCCAACAGGGAGCAAAAAGCTAATGGAAAATGAAGAACAGTGATGGGACTAACGGCGTTGAAAGTAACGGTGTTACTAACGCCGCTACCTTTTGTAGTAACGAGTAATCAAAATTATTACTCTTACTGTAACTATAACGCAGTAACAATTGCCGACACCCCGTTACTGCACGTTACTCAGGTCGCACAATTAACCTTTTTTCATGATAGGACTTGTGCGCGCGTCATGAGAGAGGGGAGGATGGAGAGTGAAGAGGACTCCAGCGGCAAAACAGCGCTTTCCAGATGGAAATACCGGTGTTACGTCGAGCTGCGTTTCCCCATCTGATACGGTTTCCCGTGCGGCGGCACGATTCACCGCGTAAGCGTCAGGAAACGCACATGCTCGCTAAAGGCGCGTAACAGCCGCCCTGTGCTCGCGCCACAGGGAACTACGGAGAGCGTGAACGATCATTAGCCTATATGGAGAAAGGGAGAAATATGGATGGATGGATGGATGGATGGGATAGATAGATAGATAGATAGATAGATAGATAGATAGATAGATAGATAGATAGATAGATAGATAGATAGATAGATAGATAGATAGATAGATAGATATAGCTACATGTTGCAGTATCTATAACAACCCAAACACAGGATTTCAGAATTAGACATCCCCAGTTATTAATTTCATATACTCGCAAAAGTAACGCAATAGTTACTTTTACTAGCCTGACGTAGTCCTACTCAATTCTAGTCAGAATATGAGTCTGATTCTGCTCCATAGAGCTGTGATTAAGGGGCGTGTTTCGTTAGAACCAAGAAAAAAATGCCTCTGCTCTCAATTGGATAGACCTACAACCAATAAGAGCAACGGAGTGCGTGACGTATGTTAAGCGACGCATAGTTGTTGTCAACAAAAATCAAAGCGTGCAGTTGCACGCCTAGAATAAGAAGATGAGCCTTGATCGCGTTTCTCTGTTCCTCTTTTAAAATTAATTTGCTGTCGATATCTTCTAGAACAGACCTAATAGCAGAATCTACTCACCTCAGCTCTCCAGCGGCAGCCATTGTTGTTGTCATCCAAGCGCGCTTTGGTGACGTGGTTGATTACGTTACTGTTGATCATCTGTCCGTCATCGTATAAAGCCCGCCCTGACAATTTGATTGGCCCGCCAGATATTGTGCTAGCATACTCGCGCTACTATGGAGCAATGCCAGACCGAACTTCCCGACCTCAAACGTTGTGGGCGGGACTAAGTTCGGAATGGCACCAAGGCTACACTTTTACTACTAACTACTTACTTTTATTGTGGAGTAACTCAGTTACTAACTCAGTTACTTTTTGGGAGAAGTAACTAGTAACTATAACTAATTACTTTTTCAAAGTAACGTGCCCAACACTGATGAAGAACAAGGGCACATTAGATACAAAACTTACAAAACTTGTTCCTATGCCCTGTCCTTCGTTGTAACCAATAAGCTGACAACATATATGTAATGATCCAGAATACCCTCATCCTATTGGTCGAGCGAAGTGTTGCTCACGGAGAAGAGAGCAGGAGAGATATTAGCTCAATTGAGCTAATTATTTTTTTTTTCTGTTTTACAACTGTAGCCTACAGTCATTGCATTTAAGGCACACATATGTTTACAAGTTTGCTGATGCACAATGTGCACTATTCATTTATTGTTTTATATTCCTTTTTACAGTTTGAAGTTAAGCAGGAGAGGCTTATCTTTTAAGATACTTATTTTATTCGGCAAAGTTTTTTATTTTGTATTAAAGTGAATTGCTGGATTATAATTTGTTTTCCATGTGTTCATGTCACTCACAAATATTCATCTAATTCAATGCAGATTTGAGTCAAATAGATCAAAAGTAAAGGTCAGTAAAGTCATCTTGTTTACACACGTGTAGACAAAATGACAAGATAAATCTGTCTAAGTCTAAAGCTTTTCCCTAAAACCACCTGAAGGGAGCGTAGAAAATGTTTTTAAGAATTTGGGGGAGTTTTCCGAATTTTGCCATTTCCATCAAGCTTTTCTGACGTGACTTTAAAATGCGCATTAGAAACAGCTGATGGAAACACACCTAATGATAGTTTTTCAGTAGCCTCGTGAGACCATCCTGATCTCGCAAGCTTTCAAGGTTTCACTCGCAGATCAGTGTGGAGACTCTCCGTTAAAGAAAATTTGGAGCCGTTCACCAAACGAACGTCCAGTGAGCGTTGGCTTTGAGGCGGGTTGAGGTGTGACGCAACGAGAAGCGCGACAGTTCAGTCTAAAGAACATGGCGGCTTCAGCCGATGAAACTAGCATTAGCGTGGCTATCAAGAGCAAAACACTGCTCTGGAGGCTTTTCTCAGAGGAAAAGATGTTTTTGCTCTTCTCCCGACTGGTTTCGGCAAGAGTAGCCTGGCTTGTGGTTGTGTTTTCGTCGTCGCTCTCTTAGTACGTCATATGCTTCGTTGATCTGATTGGTTTATTTGGCCCGTCTATCACCAACATAGGCCAATCAGCTAACCAGTATTTTCGCCCCTTCCCAAAATTACTTTAACGGAAGGTTTCCAGATGGATATGCGGAGCAAATCCATCTGGCGGAGTCAGGTTAGTTTTTCAGTGGCTTTCACCAAAATTTTTATAAAGTGTTTTGCTTCTTTTCATAGGATTGATTCACATATTTTTTTAGATCTTTTAGATCAAACAAACAGTTTCTTTATCTCTGGCATAAAAATTACATGGATGGATGGATGGATGGATGGATGGATGGATGGATATGTTCTGTATGTTTAGTTGGATCATCTTGTGCAGAAAAATCAAAGGGATGCACCATCTAGTAGGAGGAACTGAGGTTGTCCCAGCGTGCCATCTCGTTGTCTCATTGACAGCCGGTAGACTACAGATCCAGGGTTGGCATCAGGACCCACGGCACCCAGGTAAGGTGTAGGAAACATCCCCCACTGCAGGTCCGTCTGACTGGGCAGGCTCAGGGTTAACCTGCACAGGTACCATTCATCACCTGGAAAGGACAAGACAAAAACAGGAGCTAATTATTAAACCTTAATATTACATTGTCGTCTGCAAAACTGGTACTCAAAGATGGAAAAGATAAACGCTACGTTTCTTAAAACAAAAAATTTAATTTTCAAAAATTCAATCACAACAAAGATTTCTTCATACTGCTTTGTCTTTTATTCATTTTTTTTTTCATCTGTTGGTGGGTTTACATGTTGGGTTCAACAGTTTTGCATAATATTTATCATTGCAGTACTTGAGAGAAAAGTTTTTTTTTTTCAGTTGTTGTTCTGTGCTGTGTGTTGATGCTATTGTCGTCTAGGTGTCGCACCAACGAAGCTCGTTAGCTTAACCAGCTCCACTCACTCAGACAGCGGACTAAAAGGGGAGCAGCTCTTAGCCAAAGGGGACAAGGTGACATTCCTCTTTAACTTCTCTTATGTTTTCCCATATTTCATCTCCATTCTGCTGCATAAGATAAGAACCAAACAGCAGAGGATGAAGGAGAAGAAAAAGATGCAGCTCCTCCAAACTAAAACAACAAAACTTTGAGAGGAAAACACAGGAAGCGGCACAGCAGGTGCTCGCATTTGCCCAGTGAAAACACACACACTTGTCACGTCTACCATTCTGCTCTCCATCTTTATTCTTATTATTTCACGTCGCCTGGTTCTGAAGCGGGATTTGTTCGGTTTGGGGGGTTGCCTTGGTGCTCGCTGTTGTTTTGACTTTTGTGTCGTTTCAACGGCAGCCTGACAAGAGAAGAAACTTCACTTCAGAGGAACCAGAGAAGAAAGGACGGATGAGCAGGTGACAGGAGAGGAGGAGGAGGAGATGACAGCACAACACAATGGTGTCTTTCCTGTCTTTTTATATCACCTCTGAAGGTGTGTCAACAAACGTAGAGCAGGAGGGGGAGTGAGGACAAAAAAAAGAGGGATGAGGTCCCTCTACACATCAATCCACGCGCTGACAAGGGAATTGGAGCTAAAGATGAAGAAATTAATGGGTGAGAGACCAAAAATATAAGGGATAAAAAACAGAACATCAAGAAAAAAAAGGTACACTGGAAAAACCATCTAGAAATAAGTAAAAAATTCGTAAATTAAGTTTATTTACCCTTCATTTGAGTAGGTAAATAAGATTGTTTGCCAATGGAATGAGTATTTTTACTCTTAAAATAAGATTAGATAAGATTAGATATGTACTTGAAAAAGATGCAGTGTAAGTGTAAATTGTCTTCCATTAACACAATGTCTCCTTTACCGCCTCAATCCAAGAAGAAATGCACTTATTTTAAGAAAAAATGACTTAGATTTTGATATTTTCCAGTGTATAATAGTAATAAAACACTGGAACAAAGTTAATTTACTGAAAGAAAGAAGTCCTTGATCACAGATCTTAAACCTCCACATGAAAAACATTCTAACAGTCTTATAAGAACATCATCTGAAAATAACTAGATGCAGCAGAAGGTCTCATTAAATATTAGATGTGAATAAAGGAGGACAAATCAACCTAAAAGCACAGGGAGAAAATAATGAGGCGATAATAAGGAAGAAGCTTCTACAAATCAGCGCTCACTTCCTTAATGGATGCTTCATGGCTCTTCGGTCAAACCATAAACTCCAGAATAATCACATCTATTCCTGTCCGTTGCTTAACATACGCTGAGCTGTGGCCCGTGTGTGAAAGCCGAATGAAATCTGTCCCATTATCATGATAAATATTAACACATTTACATGCAGCATCGTAGGTCAATACATATCAAGCAGGGCACAAACTATAAAAGTTCCCTCGCTAGATAAAAGCATTTTGTCCAGCCAGCAGCTGGAGAAAATGGCTCCTTCAAACCTGCAGGCAGATGAAAGGTCAGTGACACCAAAATAATGACTTCAAGACTTTTTCATACAGCAAATGGAGAAAGGGTTGCCAGATTTCAGAAATGGAAATAAGGGTCCAAGAGAAACTTCATTGTTGCGGGGGGTCACAGGTTCCTCCCCCGGAAAAGTTTGTATTTCTTAGATGCAATTTCCTGCATTTTAAACAAATTGTGTCCCGTTTCAGCTCAACACAGAACCATAGCTTTATTTTGTTCTTTGAGCGTGATTTGTATTTCTTGCAATAAGCTACTAGCCTTGTGAGACCATCCTGATCTCGCGAGCTTTCAAGGTTTCACTCGCAGATCAGTCTGGAGACTCTCCGTTAAAGAAAATTTGGAGCCGTTCACCAAACGGACGTCCAATCAGCGTTGGCTTTGAGGCGGGTTGAGGTGTGACGCAACGAGAAGCGCGACAGTTCAGTCTAAAGAACATGGCGGCTTCAGCCGATGAAACTAGCGTTAGCGTGGCTATCGAGCAAGTTTTATCGGAATTACAGAGTATTTCTTCACTGAAAGAAGAGCAAAACACTGCTCTGGAGGCTTTTCTCAGAGGAAAAGATGTTTTTGCTCTTCTCCCGACTGGTTTCGGCAAGAGTAGCCTGGCTTGTGGTTGTGTTCATCGTCGCTCTGTTAGTACGTCATATGCTTCGTTGATCTGATTGGTTTATTTGGCCCGTCTATCACCAACATAGGCCAATCAGCTAACCAGTATTTTCGCCTCTTCCCAAAATTACTTCAACGGAAGGTTTCCAGATGGATATGCTGAGCAAATCCATCTGGCAGAGTCGGGTTAATAGGCTACATTAAATTAAAATAATTAATAAATGGAAATGTTAAGTTTTCACACTATCATCACGCACAGAAATCCCCTCACAAAACCAATGGCGTCATGGCCTGGTAGAATTTTCTTAGGCTATAGGGAGATTACCGGTTTGTTTTGTTTTTTTGTGTGCTTATTTTTGGTTTATTTTGGTTGTTGGTTACCCAGCTTATTAAATGACTCACTATGTTGTGCTATACTTTTCCTGAGCAGGTAAGCTGGGCACTTGTAATCAATAACGTTGCAATAGATGCTTTGAGTTGGTGTGCGTTGGTGCAGTTTGTAGAACTAGAACTAAACATGAGGACCGTCACCAGGAAGCCATGATGAACGCCCCAAGAAGAAAGATTACAGAGTGGAGAATGCTTTAGAGTGACAACGTCATAAGCGGAAGGTGAATCAAGAACAGTAGAACTCTAAGCTCTAGCTATTAGGCGTGGACGGGAGCCACAGCGGAGGCTGTAGGCTTTGCTTTGTGCAGGCGGCCTGGAGCGCAGCGGGGCGGAGCGCTGACGGAGTATGTGGGATTTTGGGGTTAGCATGACATATAATGAAATATTGTCACATTGAGGTCACCATGTTGCTTGCGCTACAATGACGTATTGTGTCCTGGAGTGCTAGCTCAAAACAGCCAAAATAGAAAATTAGTAACTTTAAATATTTTCAGTTTGCTCTTTAAAATTGATCAGGATAAAAACTGCTGATTGGAGATGCTAACCCAGATGTAGAGCTATGCTACAAAGAGCTACAAAGAGACTATAAAGTTGTTGTTTTCTTTTATTTTGAAATCATTGGCAAATTGTCTTACTTCTCTGATCAAATCAACAGAGAATACACTTTTTTCAAGAAAATTGATTTACATTTCAATTTTTGCAATTTATTCTACTCATCACAGATATCAACCTCACAGCTTAAGCAGTCAGGAGATTCCCGATGTGAGAAATGTCTGAACCTCGGAAGCGCGGCTTCATTTTTCACCCTGAATAGATGTTTCTTCTATCTCAACCACGGCTTAATTTTCTCGCCTGCTCCTCATCTTAGATGTAAAATGAGAACAAAATGATGCTATTTAAATGAGTTTCCACTTCGCTATTGTTATTCTACACTTTCTCGTTCGCCAGAGAGGTTTTTATTCTCCATGCCAGGCATAAGACATTTCTCAGAGCTTTCTGGACTGTCTAACACGTGAAAAAATGCCTCAAAATGAGATTCAATTTGTTCTGCTCAGCTTTTAATCCATGATTTCTTTCATCCCTCTGCTTCTAGTCATATCCCCCTGTGTTTTGGGGTTAGTTTCTTTCATTGGTTAGATTAAATTTTCCCTGGCACTGAACTGCAGCACAGTTTTCAGGTTAGAAGGGCGGGCTGGGGTGGTGTGTGTGTGTGTATGGGGGGGTGATGCTTCACATAGCAGCGAATCTCTTAAAATGTGTTTTATGGAGAGAAACCAGAGGACACAGGTCTATGAAGAGACAAATGTAAATAAATAAAAAAATATGCACAAACAATAAATCATGCAGCCTTTTTGAACATGATTGCAATCGGCCAGGTTTCTTTTAAGCAATCTGTCTGGATAATCAGATTCAATTTTCTCTGTAAAGTTGTTCTAAGATGTCATGTTTTTTGAACTGATCCAGTATAAACTGAATTAAACTGAATTCACAAAAACACTAAAGAACAAAAGGAGGAAGCAGTGAAAACAAACCAATAAGGGCTGCAACTAATGACTATTTATCTAATCTATTAATCTTTTAATTAATTTTTTAATTATTAAACTAATAATTGGGGTGTAACAGAATTTAAACCAACTGAAGCTCAAACTGTGCCTTTTATGTATTCTAGGTAGAGCATATTAAGAGTAAAAAAAAAGGGTTTTATCTTTAATGCAAAATGTTTATATACTTTTTACAATTTTACGATAATAACTGCTTTGAGTGGGTTGGTCTTTCAGTTAAAGTCATGGCTTAGAGTCTCTATATTAAAGTAAATGATTAATTCATTACTAAATTTGTTGACGATTATTTCTATAATCAATCACGATTGATCTGATTAGTTGTTTCAGCCTTAATAAAATCCCTGTTATTTAAAATATCTGAAGGATTGGTGTGTATCGGGCAGAGTTAAATTACCTGTAGATAATGGGAAAGATTTTGCAGTTCTATGGTAGTAGAACAAAAGGCAAGGTTCTGGGGAATTGTCAACTGCCCAAGGAGAAATTTTTGATCAAATGCTAACAGCTCTAAAGATAATTAGAAATCAAATACTGGAAAATTTGCTCAAACAAAGCCCTCTTCTTCTCCAT